TAGCATTTGAGTCCAGGGGGGTTTTGTAGCATACCGGACTTCTCCGCCAAATCCAACGAGAGCTATAGCTAGATACTCTGACATCGCCACAGATTGCGTTGGAAGCTGTTTGCGGAAGGGTAGGTATATCCTGGCGGGTTCAATGCCCAGGTGTCTTAGGGCGAGTTTTCTGCCTTTCATGATGAGGTTACCAAGGCACTCGACTCCTGGAGAGAATGCACGTGACGGTTTTCCCAGGACTATCCATTGTATTGGTTGAGCTTTTTCAGGGGGCCCCTGGGCTAGTGCCCCTACTCCCCCTCCCTCTGTGAAATGTACATACAGATCGAGTGGTATATCTGGGTTCCACCTAGCGAGCGTGCTTGACGATACCTGTTGCTCGATAAAGTCAAGAGAGTTCATTGCTTCCATCGTCAAAGTTTTTTGTTCCCATGGGTTCTTTCCTTTCAGAAGATCGTACAGGGGGGCCATGGTTTCGGGAGGGATCAGGACAATATTGCGGAGCCATTGCAAGGATCCCACTAACTGTTGCATATCATGGAGTGTTTTGATGTTCCGACGGATTTTTATTTGGGGGGGGTTACATAAGAACTTGTGATCCCCACTCCCAAAAAGCTTACACATGGTCCTCTTTTAACTTTCGCACTCGCGATCTCAAACCCGTTTGTTTTTAAAGTTTCCGAAACCGTTGACACCAGCTGGTCTACCTGACTTCCTGACGGCGCGGCGATTAAGATATCATCCATGTATTGAATGATAGTCGCCGTCGGGTTACTGTGCCGAACCGGTGCCAACGCCCGATCCACTGTAATCTGGCAGATTGTAGGCCAGTTGATCATTCCTTGAGGCAGCACTTTCCACTGGAAGCATAGGTTGGGGCATTGGCTGTTTGGGAACACGACAGAAAAAGCAAACCGGTCCTTGTCCTCCTCATGCAGGGGTATCGAAAAGAAACAGTCCTTAATATCAAGGACAGCACAAGGTTGTCCTTCTGGTATCATAGAGTTCATAGGCAACAGCGTTTGGACGGGACCCATTGGTTGAATTCTCTTATTTACTTCACGCAGGTCATGGAGGAGGCGAAACCCCTTGCTAGTTCGCTTGGGTATTACAAAAACTGGGGTGTTCCATGGGCTAGTGGAAGGCTCTATATGACCTCATTGTAGTTCGCGGTCGACTAGCTCGAGAAGAGCATCCATTTGAGGCTTCGAGAGGGGCCACTGCTCGACCCACACTGGGTCGGACGATTTCCACATCAGTCTAATTGGTGGAAGTGGGTGTGTGGCAGTGGCCCTTACGGTAAATTTGTCACCCTGGCCTTTCATAGGGTTAGAGCGTCCCTTCCCAACAAGGATGGGACTCCTGACATGACATACGGAAAGAGGGTAATAGTTTTCTCCGGTCCCTTTTCAGTGTGAAGCGTTATTGCTACCAATTGAGCACTCTTCCGAGCTCGGGTTAATCCCCCGACTCCGCCCACCATGGGGGCGTCTTCCAGTTTCCAACGCGGGGGCCAATTTGTCTCAGGGATAACTGTAACATCT